TGCTAGTTTAGAATACTGCGCGTGGACAGAGGCGTCGCCAGGTTTCTGCATAGTTTAGAGTGACAAATCGTACCAGCGTACTTTGAGGTCAAAATGCGTAGCCGCTACGCAAAACGCGTACAGGTTGGCAGGTCTGCATCTGTTTAAAATATGGATGAAATGGAAAACAGGATTGCCTTTGATCGTTTAATCTCACAGAGTTCATATTTCACCCCGAGATCAACAAGAATAAGAATAAATATGAAATAACAATAAAAAATATTGAAAATGAAACATGACATTATATTTTGCATTAAGCCTTTTTTTAGGACCATTAAGATTATTTGCATTGTGCCAATATTTCAGTTACAATAAAGCACATTTTCACCCAAATATTCATTAGGGTAATGCACAAATAATACATTAATAAAAACAATAATAATAAAGCTAATAATTATAACAACTATTCAGACAATTTTTTGTATTATTAAAATCAGCTATTTAATTCAGTACAACAAATACTACCATTATGTATCACTTGTACTTTAAAAACAATATAAATTGAAATGTAATTTAAATATTATTATCATAATAATAATAGCAAAAATACATACAAAATGTTTTTATTATTCAAATCAGCAATTTGATTCTGTACAACAAATACTACTATTACGTTTCAGTTTATAGTATTAAAAATACTATAATTTAAAAGGTAGCTTAAATATTATTATTAATTAGGTATTTAGAATTTATCAATTAATAATAACAACAACAATACTTACACAATGCTTTAAAATCAGCAATTTAATTCTGTACAACAATTACTACTATTATGTATACTTTCACTTGTACTATAAAAACAATCAATTCAATTATTTAATTTTAAACAACAATAAAATAATTATGTTGAAATAATTTGTTATAATTGTTTTTATAAATTACTATAAATGTTTTTTATTGTTAAAATCACGTATTATTCAAATCAATTTTATTTTGTAGAAAAAAATACTACCCATTTATCAGTAGTACTTATAATGTACAAATTATACACAATGTAAATTAAAGATCATTTAAATGTATTATTATTAATAATTATAAAAATAAGAACAAAACAATAACTAGTTTTTTTTCTGAGAGCTGGTGGAGAGAGTGGTAAATGTGCTTAATTTTCATGAAAATATACAAAATACAATTTTGGAGATCTTGACGATGTTAAAATAGAAAGTAACAAAATAAAAGTAAAAATAGTTCACTAGTATAAGAGAAAAACAGCCTGTTTAACTCTAAGGATCATAGAGAGGGTGAAAAACGATCATGAAAAACTAAATTCTGAGTGTTGTCGTTTGAAGAAACCATGACTAGCTTCACATTGGGAAAGTACCTGAGATTTGTTGGAGGGTGAGGATCTAGCAGGACGTCCGTTCTCCACTCCGTCGATCTCCGTGTCCTTGGTGTCGATCTGTAACGAGACAGAGGTGCTGGTGAGCGTTTCTGCTCGGGGGCAGGTGACGGTCTACCTGAGCTACCCGTGCCGCCCGGTGGACTGTACCTGCAGTACCGCAACCCGTACCTTGTAGTTGTGCGCGCTGAGGTACTTGAAGTGACCGAAGCACACGTGCGACAGGCAGACCACGATGGTGATGATGAGCACCACGAAGGTAAACATGGACGTCGGGGTCAAAAACCCTGAGAAACCAGAGGAAGTGAGCCACATTTGGATGGTACTCTATTTTTACCCTATTCATCTGTAGTGTCTTACTTTAAAGTAGGATATTTGTGACCCTGGACCACAAAACCTTTTATAGAATTTAGAATAGAATATAGAAATAAGCTTTCCATTGATGTATGGTTTGTTAGGATCGGACAATATTTCGCCGAGATATAACTATTTGAAAATCTGGAATCTGAGGGTGCAAAAAAAATCTAAACATGGAGAAAATCATCTTTAAAGTTGTTTGTTCTTCACAATGCAAATTACTAATCAAAAATTAAGTTTTGATATATTTACGCTAGGACATTTACAAAATATCTTCATGGAACATGATCTTTATTTAATATCCTAATGATTTTTAGCATAAAAGAGAAATGGATAATTTTGACCCTTACAGTGTATTGTTGGCTATTGCTACAAATATACCTGTGCTGCTTATGACAGCTTTTGTGCTCCAGGGTCACATATTTGAGTGAACGCACCTGTCCGCATGGTGGAGAAGAACAGCAGCCAGAAGAGGCACAGGATTGGTGCAGCCACCACCTGATTGACGGCTCCCGAGTGGATCTTCTTGTCTAGTTTGGAGGGCAGGTAAGCGTAGTACATGTTGTACCGGTCCACCAGGTGCTTCAGGAGCATGTACATCAGCCCTGCAGATGACAGATTATATTAAATTATATTACATTTCCATCCAGTGTTTCAGTTCACAGTAAATGCTGCTCCATATGAACTCATCTCTGCATTTGCTCAGTTTCTGTCTCCTATAACATCCATTTGAAACCATTCTCCTAAACTTTTAATAAGAAGCACTCACAAACCGGCTGTTGTCAACAAAGAAGCTTTAAGACCCCCTGCGGCTTTGTGCCAAAATAAAATCTTGATGGTTTAACATTTGAAATTGGAAGAACTTAAGACCAAAAAATATTAGTAGCGCAAATGTACACAAAACAAATATATATATATATTTTTGATTGCTAAAATAATACTGATTGCCATTTTTCTGATAAAAAATATGATTATAGGTTAGATTATATAGATAAGTTCTATTAAAGTTTTAGTTGTGTGTTTTTGTAATTCTTATTAGTTTTTGTTTTTAAATAATATGTCTGTATATTATTATATTAGTCATTTTAGTACGTCTACTTAAACGAAAATAAGAAATGTTGCCTTGGTAATTAACTAAAATAAAAAATGTATTTTAAAAGTTGTATCTTATTTCATTTAATATTTATTTTAAGTAATGTTTTTTAAATGTTTAGTTAATGATAATAACCCTGATCGTAATTAGATTTTCCCCATCAAATCATATAGACCTACACACCAGCAAACAAGAAGTGACATTAAAATTTGGAAAATGGACCTAAAATATACTAAAAGCATATTTCACCAGCTTGTAGTAGCACGCTGGTGTATAGATGAGCTCAGAGTAACGAATATGAAATATTACAAAATAATAATACAAAATTAAAGGGGTGGTTCATTGCGATTTCACTTTTTTAACGTTAGTCAGTGTGTAATGTTGCCGTTTGGAACATAAACAATATCTGCAACGTTACGAAGCTGAAAGTTCGATGCAAACTGAGATATCATCTTTTAAAGGGGTCATATGATGCAATTTCAAGTTTTCCTTTCTCTTTGGAGTGTTACAAGCTCTTGGTGCATAAAGAAGATCTGTAAAGTTGCAAAGACTAAAGTCTCAAATCCAAAGAGATATTCTTTATAAAAGTTAAGAGTTAACCACGCCTACCTAAAACGGCTCGTTCTAACACGCCCCCACATGTCTACCTCACTATGTGGGAAGATTTGCATAACTCCACCCAAATGTTCATGCAAAGAAAGAAGGCGTAACTTTTATTCTCGCTGTAGTATTGTTGCCGCCGCCGCAGTGTCGTGAAGACGCTGTGTGCTTCATTGTGAAAGCGAAACTACTTTGTTTGGTCTTCCAAAAGAGGACACGACTAGAAATCAGTGGTTAAGTTGTATTTACAACACTGTTCCAGAACCCTTCAACCCAAATATTCAGATGTGTGCAGCGCATTTTGCGGAGGATGAGGACTGTTTCCTGAGAGAGTAGCCTACAATGCCAGTGTCTGTTTCTATAAAGTGGGGCAGTTCCAACTTTGCAAGGACAGTCTGGCGCTTCTGACTCACAGCCTGTAAGTACGTTTTTTATGTTTAAAGAATTTGCCACTGACGATTCAAACGCGAGTTTTGAGCAGTGTAGAGTAGCACTTGTTGTTTGTCGTTTCTCCAGACATGGTTTTATGTTTACGTGGCGCGATACGCAACGCATAAAAAGACAGTACAAGTCATTATAATCAGTAAATATGCCCCCACTGGATGCAACAAATGCCTCGTTTGTAATGGGTTTTATTGTTTTTGTCTTGTCGCGCCGGGACACAGGGCATCAGCACAGTATGGTGAGGGGCGTAACATTTCCGTCACACGCTTGAGGTATTCGGCCAATCACAACGCACTGGATAGCTGGCCAATCACAGCGCACCTCGCTTTTCAGACCGATGAGCTTTGCAAAAATCGACACGTTTCAGAAAGGCGGGGCATAGAGGAGAAACAATAATGTACAGTATGTGGAAAATAATGTGTTTTTTTAACCTTAAACCGCATAAACACATTGCATTACACCAAATACACAACATAATGTTCTTTTTAGCAACGTCATATGACCCCTTTAAAATTCTGGCAGTTTAATGTCTACAAAAACGGCTGGTAGGGACTACAACATGTTACTTCCCGGGTTCGTGACATGACATAAACCCAGATAAACCCCGCCCCCCAGAAAAGGCAGCAAAGGGGGCGAGGCCATGCTGCGCTGCTAGAGAAGAGGAAGAGAAAACTAGAGGTGCACGTAAAAATCTATTCATATATGAATCGCGATTCTGTCTTCTAAGGATTCTAATGGATTCACAAGTTTCAAAATCAATGTTCTAAAGCAGCGGTTCTTAATACTGTTCCCCGTGTCCCCCTGCTCTGCACACGCTCTGCATCTCTCTCTCTCTCTCAGCTCAGCTCCAACAATGAACTGTTCCAATTATACACTTATTTTCACATAGCTATGAGAAGCGTTAAACATGGATGAGCGTGCAGTTGCCGTACTGTATTAAAGCTTTAATCAGGATAAAACCGTATATTAAAAGCTAACATATCCTCTGCTTCTCAATCGGGCTCAAACTGATAAGCGATATTAACGACGCCGCTGTTTAATACAACCAGAGCACATGCCGCTGAGGTGAGGGGCGGGACCTTTAGACGCGCACTAGATGCGGTTTAGCCAATCACAACACACTGGGCTAGCTAACCAATCAGAGCCCATCGCCTATTTTTGAGGGAGGTGCTTCATAAAAGAAGGAAATGATCAGTGTGTTTTTCATAGATGGGACAGAGCGGTGTGAAATAAAGGTAAATTATGTGAAAAATAATGCGTTTTTTTAAAAACAAAGCATTAACACATGTTAGACTGCACCCCATAAACACAATCAAGTCTAGAAAAAAAAACAGTGAACCACCCCTTTAATATTGTAATCTCATGAGGTGTGTCTTAGTATCTGTCAAGCGATAAAACATCAGCCTGTAGTGTGTTTTCATTTCAGATGCAACATGTGATATCAACATGTGTGCAGACGTGAGGTTAATCGCGTGTCAGATGTGAACCGCTGTGCCTCAAATGAGCATCTCCGTCTGCGTTTACAGTGTGGGCTGAGAGACAGAAATAAAGTTTCCTCCGCAGAACAGCGATGAGTCACACACCGCCAGCTCGACGAACACCTGTGTGTGTGTGCTTCTGAGAGACTTCTAGAAATAATGTGAGCATACAAAAGCTCAGCGACAGACAGCAAAGAGATTACTGCTCAAATGCAGCAAGTCTTCTCCGTTTGTGTGCTTTTGCAGTGAATACGCAGGCAGAAGATCTATATTTTATCGGACACACACACACACACACACACACAGAGAGAGACACGGTGCATAGGCAGGTGGTTCTGCTGGCGCAGCTTGCGTTTTCCATTGTTGAAGATGCATGCAGACATGCAGCCAGCAGGAGGCGCTCTGGACACATACACACACACACACACACACACACACACACACACACACACACTCTTTCGGTCGTGTCATTCACAGCATTTCTCCCTTATCCTCTCTTTCATCCTTGTTCGTCTGTCCCTCTCTGATTGGCTGTCGGTCTGTGGTTTCGTGAATGGGCTGATGTGGAAGTGGGCGTGGCCTGACTCACCGAAGGGGACGATGATTGGGCAGGTGATGCTGTACGTCATAACGACGGTGAAAACGCACATCATCCAGGCGTAGGCAGCTCCGAACTGAAACTCATAGGCTTGATGCTGCGCACACACACACACACACACACACGTTACACAACTAAACGCATCACATCCAGGTGAACAGCAGGTAAAAATAACTCATTGTGGGTGGATGAAGCTCTAAAACTTATCAAAAACAAAAAAATACATCCCTCCATCAAAAGGAAAAAAAATATTATTTTTTGCTTAAAAGGAAATTAATTTTTCAATTTTCATTTATATAATTAATATTTTAAGGACCATTAAGATTTTTTAACCATTGTAACATTTTCATGACAAACGAGCACATTTTACATCATTACTGCAATAAATAAATAAACAAATATTATTTAAAAAAAATAATCAAATAGATAAATAAAGTAATTTATTAATTGATTATACATCATGGTAATATTTGTTGGTCTGTCTTTAATTAATGCTGGTTAAAATAAATAAATACATACAATTAATTAAACAAATGATTAGATAAATTAGAATTAGATAAAATAAATTAATAAATATGTAAATGAATGAATGAAAACACTATTAAATAAATAAAGATATTTAAATTGTAAAGTATTTATTCATTATGGTAATATTTGTTGGTCTGCCTTTGATGCTGGTTTAAACAAAACAAAACAAAACTGAATGAATGGATGAAACACAATGAATTGAATAAATTAATTAATATATGAATGAATGAATAAAATGCAATTAAATGAATGACTGAATGAATAAATAGATATATAAAATACAATTGAATGAATGTTTGAATAAAATAAGGTGAAGTGTATTTGGCTAAAATGGGTGTAATATTCATGAATATAACGTCAATTTAATGGTCCTAAAACATTTCCTAAAAATGTTTTATGTTCTTTATGCAAAATGTATTTTGAGATGATGCATGACCCAGTGTTCACCTGAGCATTAATGATATAAGAGTGAAATTAAGGATCAAGATTGCGTGTCTTTGTACCCGTTTGACGTTGCGTCTCTCCGCAGCCGAGCGAGCCAAACACAGCCGGATCATGTACATGAGCAGACCTGGAATCCGCAGCAGATCCATGGCGTTTCCGATGAACGCCGACGCAATGACGTAATTCACAAAAAACGCTCCATTATCAGGGAGGAAGACACACCTGAAATTACAGATTAAATACCTCAATATATGCACTAAATCAAAACTATAAACACTAAAAGCAGGTTTGTGAACATTCAGAAATTTCGTTTAATTAATATATGAATATTTAAAAAAATAAAAAGTTACAAGAAAGCAAGAAACACGTGTGAAGCAGCAAGAATGTCTGTTAAGCATTAAAAAAAATGTAAATAAAATAATCAAAATATTGAGGTTTAGTTCATTAATATACGAGTATTTAAATAAAATGCTGCAATTGGCAAGAAAGTTTAAGCAATTCAAAAGAATGAAATAAAATCAAAAATGAAATAAAAACCATTTAAATGTTCAGAATTTCAGTTAAGCAATATATGAATATTTAAATAAAATAAACAATTAAAAAGATTAAAAAGTTGTGTTCATTAATATATGCATATTTAAATGAAATGCTACAATTGGCAAAGTTTAAGCATTCAAAAAAATAAATAAATAAACTAAACATTCAGAAGTTCAATACATAAATCTAAAAATTTAAATTAATACAATTATACAACTGGCTATAAAGTTCAAGCATTTCAAAATAAAATAAAATCAAAAATGAAATGAAATAAACTTACTCGAATCGGACGGTGGCTTCAGCCAGGAATTTTTTGTCAAACAGCCAGCGGAAGAAAACGTCCAAACTAACACAGAGAAGAACATTTAGTATTATGAAACCGTCATCTGAAGTTTAACACTTTCGGTTTGTGATTTCAACAAGCCTTTATATTGCAGAGCGCTAGCAACCATCACCAGCAAACGAGTAATGTTTAATATACTAAAAAGCTAATTATAGTCAAATCATTCACCAAACATCAGCACAAGTACTGAGCAGATACTCAGAGCTTCAGGCAGATACTCAGACGAGTCCCATGACAGATATAAATAATGAATTACATATGCAATTACAGATTCAAATAAACCTCATCACACATGTAAAGATCTCAGACGGTACCTGCTGAGACCCAGAGACGGCAGCAGGAGAACCATGAAGATCAGGAAAGTGTAGCACTTGTGCATGGTGGTCCTGTTCTCGCCCGACCTGAGAAACACACCAGATAAAACACCTGACACCCTTCAGAGCAGATCTGTGACCCTGGGCCACAAAACCAGTCATACGGGTCAATTTTTTTTAAATTGAGATTTATACATGCTTTCCACTGATGTAAGGTTTGTTAGGATCGGACAATATTTGTCTGAGATACAACTATTTGAAAATCTGGAATCTGAGGGTGCAAAAAAATCTAAATATTGAGAAAGTCATCTTTAAAGTTGTCCAAATTAAGTTCTTAGCAATGCATATTACTAATCAAAAATTAAGTTTTGATATATTTATGGTAGGAGATTAACAAAATATTTTAAGGACCATTAAGATTTTTTAACCATTGTGACATTTTCATGACAAATGAGCACATTTTACATCATTACTGCAATGCAAACAAATAAATAAATAATATTTAAAAAAAATAATCAAATAAAGTAATTTATTAATTGATTATACATCATGGTAATATTTGTTGGTCTGTCTTTAATGCTGGTTAAAATAAATAAATAAATACATGCATACAATTAATTAAAAATATATAAAAGAATAAATGATTAGATAAAATTAAAATTAGATAAATTAATAAATATATAAATTAATGAATTAATAAAAACACTATTAAATAAATAAATATATTTAAATTGTAAAGTATTTATACATTACGGTAATATTTGTTGGTCTGCCTTTTAAACAAAAAACAAAACAAAACAAAAAAATTAATGAATGATTGGATAAAATGCAATTAATTAAATGAATGACTGAATGAATAAATAGATATATAAAATACAATTGAATGAATGTTTGAATAAATAAGGTAAAGTGTATTTGGCTAAAATGGGTGTAATATTCATGAAAATAACGTCACAATGCAAAAACTATTTAATGGTCCTAAAACATTTCCTAAAAATGTTTTATATTCTTTATGCAAAATGTATTTTGAGATGATGCATGACCCAGTGAAATTGACAAAATATCTTCATGGAGCATGATCGTTACTTAATATCCTAATTATTTTTGGCATAAAAGAAACATTTATAATTTTGACCCATACAGTGTATTGCTGGCTATTGTTACAAATATACCTGTGCTGCTTATGACTGCTTTTGTGCTCAAGGGTCACATATCTGATTTGAGTCGTGTGGGATTGTGGGACTGTACCTGGTCCAGTGGGCTTCGAAGAAGGCGGAGTAGTAGACGATGGTGGGCAGCAGGGCGGAGAAGGCCCACAGGAGCAGCGTGGGGAAAAACTGGGTGACGATGGGGTTCTAGACACACAGACAAACACAGACACATCAGCATGTGTTTACACTCGCTTTCCTCCATCACCTGCTCGTACAGCCCTCCTCGGTCTCAGCACATCAGCAAAATAATAATAATGGAAACCTTGTTTGGGTGAATTTCATGAAGAACTTGACGTCCAGGTCATGGTTCAACCCAAAATCCTAAGCAAATAGTACAAAAATGTTCTTGCAAAAATAAATAAAGCCTGTTTATAGGACCATTGAGATTTCTTGCCGTTTAAACCTTAAGTAGAGTATCAAAAAATAAATAAATGAATACAAAAAATACTCGCTTGATTTATAATTACTCAGTTATTATAGTAATTTAACTATAAAATATATTTATTGTATTATTATTATTATTGTAACAATAATAATAACATTTATTATTAATTCAAATGGAATACAATTATTATTAGTAGTAGTACTTTTATAGTTTTAGTCTCGGTGTTTATTACTGATTCAGTACCTATTTTAACTATACATAATGATAATAATAATAACAAAAAAAGATGGTGTATTATTAATATTGTCATTATGATGATGATTATGATACATTTTGAACTAATGGTACATTATGATGATGGAGGCATAATGTATTGTTATTATATATAATGTATTATTATAATTATTATGGATTACATACTGTATTTATATATAAAATGACTAATATGTATTATTATTATTAATATAATTGATTCTTAAATGTACAATTTATTAAATTGATTTTATTCTTATAGAGACAAAAGACTGTCATTAAAATAATGCAAATCAAAATGTCACAATGCAAAAATGACTGCTTGCTAATAAAAACGTGATTTCTTTATTTTTTGTATTATTTTGAATATGACAATGTTCTTGTCTTTCACAATATGAGAGATGAACTCGGTCTAATTTGTGGAGCAGGATGTTTCATTACTCCTCCACGCTAATCTGGGGGTTTGTCCTGCCGTGAACCAGCGTCAAGTCAGGTTTTTTTCTACATTTTGCTGGATGAAATGTTCTTTTTTTTTTTGGACTGTCATCGCTCGGTCTATATGAACATCAAAAGTGTTCTGAACGACTTTTTTGGCACCATTTTCACTTGACGCTAGAAATAGCCATGGAGTTTGTGGCAGTCTTACGTTCAGATACTCCACAGGCTTGGTGACGTTGAACTTGTCCATAGTGGAGATGATGATGGCCGGGGTGGTGAGGAAGAAGAGGAGGAGGAAGAGGATGCAGTTAATGATGAAGCAGCGAAGCCACCAGGAAACTCCTCCCAAAGACAGATTCTCCCTGTGATCAAGAAACACACACACACACACACACACGCACACACACGCACACACACACACACACACACAGACACACACAGACACACACAGACACACACAGACACACACAGACACACACAGACACACACACACACACACACACAGCTCTTGATAAGCTATCGACTGCTCATAGGTGAGTCCGGCACATAATGAAGTCAGCAAAGAAACGGCTGGCAGATAAAGAGAAACCAATAACAGCTCACTGCATACTGTGTTTTTACATTAGTACTGGATGTGAAACCGTATTAGAGGCTATGAAATCAGATTAAGATTTTTTCCACAAATTTCTTTTTATTTTTTCTATTTTTCTGGATTGCGTTTTTTTTTAATAATGATTGAATTTTTAGGGCTCTATGAAATCAGTTTCCCCCTTAAACCGTTTTATTTTTTCCCTAATTTTGTGTTTTCTATTTTAATTGATCCGTTTTCTGATTTAATAATGTTTTTATTAAATTTTAACAATAAACAGCTGGTCAATTTAATTAATTGAACCGCAGTCTGGTCAATTTAATTAATAAAACGTATTATAATTGAATATATTTTACAATAATAGGGCTCTATGAAATGTTTCATCTTTTCAGAAAATCTGTGTTGTCTGTGATTTATGATTTAATACACATTCCTTAGCAAAAATGTCAGTAATCAAATGAATGCATAAAACATTAACAATTTAATTAATGAATTAATCGTTATGAAATTTTGCATTGTACCATGAATCCTATTTTTATGATTGAATTAACAATTTAAGTTGAATAAAAATGAATTCCATTCCATAAAAAAACAGAGTTTTATTTATTTTCACAAATTCTGTTTTTTGTTTGGTTAAATTCCATTTTAATTAAATTGTAAAAGTAATATATTTTAAAATGTAACTTTTCAGTTGTATTTAAAAAAGAATTGGCAAAATACTTATTTATTCATTATCAAATCATGAAAAAAAAAATGCTTACATGAAAGCAACCAATACATATTGATGATATTATACCTCAGTAGATATGAATTAAATGAACAATTTTTCATAGCAACCATGAAATGTTGAATATTTATTTCATGTTTAAATATTTACTAAGGTATAATATATTTTAAGTCAATTATAAAGTATTCATATTTTTAGACACTTGTTTAATTAAAAGCAACCAAAAAAATGTTGACTATTGTAATGCAGTAGATATTTAAACATTAATAAATCAATTTAAATAAGTCAATATATTAAGTCCTTATTAATATTTTTACACAACTGTTAGCATGAAAGCAAACCATAAATGTTGACTATTTAATTCATTATCTACTGAGGTATAATATAAACACTTTTTCAAGTCAATTTATAAATTCGTATTCATATTCGTTTATATGAACGCAACCAATAATTGTTGACTATATCGATATTTAAAAATTAAATAATGTATTTATCCTATAATATTTAAAATTGTTTATTACAATAAATATTAAACAATTATAACTACTCAATTCACAAAGTTGTTTATTTATCTGAATATTAATATAATTAGTAGTAATGATACTGTAGGTGGCAAACATTTTCAGAAGCCAAAAGGAAGAAAGTTTGCTTGTATTGGTCAGTGATGAGTTTTTCCTCCAGCAGTAACGCTTTGCACTGTACATTGGCAGCACAGAGGCATTGTGGGTAATGCGTTCATACCTCTTCACAGCCTGTAATGGCGCAGCAGCACAGGTGACCGCAGGGCTTGGGGTTAATCATGGCAGGCATGTGCTCCTTAGCCATCAGATCCGTGAAAAACTTCTTACTGCGTTCAGTCTTCTTCCTGCAGGACACACGCACGCGCACACAAACACACACACACACACACACACACACACACAAACAAACACACACACGCGCACACAAACAAACACACACACACACACAAACACACACGCGCACACACACAAACGCACACACACGCGCACACAAACAAACGCGCGCGCGCACGCACACACACACACAATCACAAACAAACAGACACACAAACAAACACACACAAACACACACACAATCACAAACAAACAGACACACAAACAAACACACACAAACAAACACACACAAACACACACGCGCACACACACAAACGCGCGCGCGCACGCACACACACAATCACAAACAAACAGACACACAAACAAACACACACAAACACACAC